CAATTCTCCTTTATCACTCCTTTTAGTCTCTAGATAATAATATTGATTATGGACTTCGGACATCCCGGATACTGCATTATTTGATGGATCCCCTGCGCGTATCCCTCTTTCGAAAACGATACAGATATCTTCATCCAGGGGTATGCGATTCCGGATGACTATTAGAATAGGGAAACTAGGCAGGTTACGAATATGTTGTGGAGGCTTGACTAGAATGATGAAACCAAGGCAAACCCCGGACCTTCCAGGTTCATACGGGCTCACCCGCAGACCCGGTTCTGTGGGATACCAGAACCGTAAGGATGCTACGACGGAGTACATTTCTGAAGTACAGAGCGGGGGCTTGCAGTGGCTATTCACAGCAGAAGTAAACAGTGTCCGTTGTTGATTCCTCCAATAGAGTAGGGTCTCCTAAGAGGCACTATCTCTGGTGACATGTATTCTAGCGGTTTAGAGCTGGAGGCTCCTCAAACGGATTAGGAAATTTCAGATACTATGATCAACACTCATGAAGCGCTACATGTCTTAACTGGTGTTGGCTGTCCGGGGGCCTCTCAAACTACGCCTACCCTCGGCGGTCAAAGGGACTAGATATTGCGATATTTATGGCACTAGACTTCCACGAGCGAACAGTTCGGCTCTCAATGTCCGGTTCAACTTTCTGTGTTTTGCATTGCTTTTTTTAAAAAAAATTACCGGTGACTTTGCTACTTTTTGATCCTCTTCCGTGTGAAGAACCTGTCTATTTCTCCTTGCTTGCCTTCTCCAGGGACTACAGTGCTTTCCCGCATACCACAAATCATCCCTAGATCTGCTCTCGGGTAACATCGCCAGTGACTGGTCACTCCTATCCCATCCCCCCAGTAGCGAAATACACGGTTATCCTGTGGCTGCCGGATACAGAACTGTTAGGCTGGGCAGCTGGGGATTCGTGGTCTCCAAGTTTCGTACTTGTATTGCAAATCACCGGTACTCCAAGTACTAGTTCTCCCCTATGCATCACATTTAGTGGTCCGGAGATATTTCCGGAGGTGTTGAAAATTTGTAATGCTTAGAAGCAAGTGAATAAGCAAGATGGAAGGTTCTAGGGGATGTTTTTTCTGATGGGAAGAGTCTGGACCGGCATTATGGGACAAGGAATGAGTGCCCAAAAGGTGGCATGGAAGAAAGTGATTGGTTAGGAAAGCGGGGTAGAAGGGAATCTTTGGAATCAGGAAGAATAAAAAAGAAAGGGGTATGTGTATGACAAAGGAAAGCGGTCTGGAAGGAAGAAGATATCTTATGGATGTATATAAAGCTGAGGGTTTACCGGAGAAGTGTATGGTATGAGGCAGCGAAGAACTGAAGTCGTCGAAGGGAAAAATCAGAATCGAGTTCGGCCGGTCAGAAAAACGAAAGCTTCCAGTGCGCAGAAGATACGATATACGATCTCTATTTTCATTAACTTGGAGGATCAATATCTATGCGAAATTCATTCTTCCATTTCCTATGAGAGCAGTAAGCTCACCAGCCTCCCTAACATCGGCTACCCGGCATCCCCTGCCAATATCCGACCAATAGAATTGGCATCGCTTGTCTTGATTAGGTCTCACGGTGATGTTTTAGGATGGTATACATGCTGATGAAACCTTAAGAAATGCACTAAAGAATGGAGCGGGAAAATTCTAATTACAATAGGCGTGAACAGCAGTAGGGCATAGGGGGATGCTAAACTGTGTGCATAGAGATGTAAGCTAGGAATAGACTGGGGAATACCAGTATGTATCTCCAAGCGGCCAACACCTGGAGAAAGCAAAAGAATCTCGCCAAACTCTAAAGGAGCTATCCCAGTTCAGTGCTGCTAGGATAATAAACAAAATTGAATAAAGGAACACATCTTGGTCTTCAGCAATCCAGAACTCTCCAGGTGCCGACTGATCCTCCACCACCTCAAATGAACTAACGTATGCCCGGTGGCAGAGGGTGCATAAGAAGCAGCTAAAATCACACACACCCGGTGCCCCATGACTGCTACAAACAACCCGAAAAAAAACTAGACCTTATGCCCTATAAGGACTCACCGCGAATCACCAAAGTCGGGTGCCCCTTAACCACTGTATGTATTGAAAATCACCCGTGATCATTCGATCTCCCTGCCTCGCGGTCAAAGGATAAATATCCTTTCTCATCTAGTTCTATTTGTCACTCCTTTGTCCGTCTATCTTTCTCTATTTCTCATTGATTTCTCATCAGTTATGGGAATGGCTGGACCTTGCATAAACACTCTATATAGCTAGGACCATGCGATATAAGAAAAGGTTGCATACAGCAAGGGAGCAGAAATGCTGGTATCGGGTATGAGCAAAGGTACCGGAACTCCGGAGTTGGCTGGAAGCCACCAGAGGGATTCCCGGGGGATCGAAGGGTGTTTGGAATTTCCGTTGTTTTCTTTCTTACAGAGGCTGTAACACTGTATCTGGAGGGTAGATGGTTTGTCTATATAAAGTCTTTCCTTATTCCGTAGATACAAGGGATAAGCAACAGAGATACAGTGTACTCGTATCTAAAACTATCAATTCTATATCTTCATTTCTTCCACTCCTGCTTCCAGTCTTCACAACCACCATCACTTTTACAATAGTACGCAATCCAACGGATAGCAGGGGCAGGGGTTAGCAGGGGATTTCAGATGGCAAAAAAACCCGGTATCAATCCTAAATGGGGCACGCCGAATGCCACCTGAGCTTTACCTATCGTAGCCCCAGCGCCCACGGCCCCTCGGTTCCCCCTCGGTTAGGATTTGAAGAGCTCGGGGGTGTAGCGATTCTTCTACCACTGGCAAACAAAACAACTCCGCAACTACGTCCCCCACACTCCAGGCCTTGTTGTACCATGCTCCGTCCATCTGTGCGATGTACAGTACCGCAAAATTGAATCCCATGCTGTGGTGTTCAATGCTCCGTCTCTTAGACAGTGGAAGAGGACAAGAGAGAAAACCAGTCCCTGAAGACTGTCCCCTTCATCCTCACTTTAATTCAAGCGTAAAGGAAAAAGTGTGCTACCCGGAACTGCCCGAACAGAGCGGGTATCCGCAACCTCCATGCAGGACGTTTTTTCATTATTCTTGTAAACGCGCTATAGAAGCTGGAGAACCTACTGTACAAGCCATGGGGAACTTGATTCCAGAAAAAATCGTATCCCACTTGTTCCTCCGTATGTGTTCTCTACCGCTGTGTCGTAGATTTTTGGCACAAACATAATGTGTTGGCTATCTATATACCGGTATTTCTGCCTGGGGTGAGGACTAGTAATTGAAGTTCCCTTCGGAACACCAGGGAGAGAGGGTGTGGAGTAATCTCAGTAGTGGATTACTGGTTGAGCCTCATTTCCATCTCGCTTACGGTGCAAATCGGTTAAAAGATTCCGCTCACAATGACACAAATCCGAACTCAGATGACTCCACGTAGTCAGAATCTTACAAATAGCAAACAGCTGCAAGATAGCTCAGATTCTAGTCCTAGGTACTAGCGGTTTTATTTTTGGGGGGGAGGTGAAACTTGAGAGAGCCCGTGGAATGCACTGTACACCTGGCGATTTTGGGTGGGCGTGGAACAAGTTCCAAGATATCCGCAGGATGGGATACTAGGTAAAAATGCTGTGTACTCGTACTGTACGGTAGGATACTTGATTTCCTAAGGGTGGCTTGCTACGTAATTACCGTATGGAACTCTGATCGGGTGGAATAAGCAACAGTGGTTTGATGCGGTAGCCACCGACCCTATTTCAGCTTTTAAGCGACCCGCACCGTACCATTCTTGGCGTCACCCGCGGGAGGCATTCAGCGCCTCTCTTGCCATTCGGTCCGGAAATTCCCCCCAGATTCGCATCAGCTCGCAGATGCAAGCCCGGCCATGTTCACAAACTTCGTGGGCTTGCTGTTGGCAGGGCGAAGGAGCGTTGGTAGAGTGCCCATACTGTGTCGCATCTCGCTATTTTATGCGTCGATTCCGGTCAATGTGGCTTGGTCGACTTTTTAGAAAGATCGTGTGGGTGGTTCAGCTTAAAGGATGGCGCTCTCCCGTGAAGAAAAGAAGAAGGCCTCATAACTCCGCTCACGTATCGCCAAGATCGGGTAGGTTCAAGGGGACTCGTATATTCCAGGAAAAATCGGCGTCTGGGGTGTCACAAAATGCAGAGCAACTGTCGTGCCGGTATGCATGAAAATTTTTGCGGTCTCGAGGCCGCATAAACCAATCACTGGTAACCGCCCAAATTGTGACCTCGAATTAAACCAATCACCTTTCCCAAACTTGAAGGGACTCAGCTATGGTGTGGAACACCTTGCTGTTTGCATTTCTCCAGCTTTTCCACACCCCAGGCGGGGGAAGACTTATTTCTGAAGCGCGAATTTCAACCTTCCCCACCGCCCCAAGACCTTTTTTCCCGCACACTGCGAGATTGCGACCCGCTCAGCCTCCATCATCGCCCTGAGTGGGATTACACTTCATACCTGCGCCAAAATCAAGAACCACGAACCCCCATATCCAAAATTGGGTTCGTGACTATTCGTTTTGCTATGGCAGATGGTCATTGACTTCCTCCAGGGCCCCGCGAAACCATTGTGAACGACCTCGATCGGCAACTTTTCAGTGACCACAGCGACATCTTATTACTTCCATATCCGACCTTCGGAAACGGCGGCAAACCGAGCCAAAAAAAAACACGATGGAGGGGTAGGTTCACCCCCCCCTTAATGCTTTCGTGATCTCAAAAGGAATTGGAGTGCTGATATATGAATATTCCTAGAAGATCCCGGGTTAATATCAGCGGGAAATTCAGCGGGAATTCAGGGGATAACAATGTCTCTGCTAGTTATAATACCGACATAAATTTGCGTTACCTGAACAATGCGGCCAATCTCGGAACAATATATCAAGGATGTGTGATTAGTGCTGGGGACCGTGGTATTTTCAGCTTTCCCGAGACCCTTCCGGCAAACCACTAACCTACTGCCATGACCAGAAGAAGCATCCAGGCCTTATAGAATAATTCCCTATAGCAGGAACACCAAGTTCACTGGCCGTAAAAGTATCCTGGACTCGGTAAAAAGCCTCTCCAAGCGTAATGGCCACAATCGGATTGCACTTCTTGGATTGGGCGGCTCTGGGTATGCTTCCATTAATTCGGTATCTGAAGAGCCCTCTAACTTTGCTCAGCAAAACCCAGATCGCGATCGAATATGTTCATCAGTATGCGAGTGAGGACAATTGTGATATTTTCTGGGTGCAAGGAAGTGGAGTGTTAAAATTTAAGGAGGGCTTCAAGGCTATTGCCCGACATGTCCGAATTCCTGTAGCCAGCGCCGAGACGGAAGAGGGATTCCTATTGAGTGTCAGGAGATGGTTTGAGGGTGCAGATAGTGGCGATTGGATTCTAGTTATCGACAATGCTGATAACGAGGAGGACTTTGTTGGGAACAACAGCCACATCGCTAAGTTTGTGCCTCAAGGCCCCCGAGGTACTCTTATATTCACCACCAGATCTCGTCAGGTCGCATCCCGCCAGGATTGCGAAAGGATCGAGGTGGGAAAAATGGAGGAAGATGAAGCGCGAGACTTGTTTTCGAGACACTATGGTAGCGGGGGAAATTTGAGGGATGGTGAAGAAGAGGTTGTTTCCATGATCTTAGGTTCGGTGGGCCAATTGCCGCTAGCTGTGGTAGGATCCGCAGCTTTCATGGATGAGACCGAAACCCCACCCCGCGACTACTGGACCATTTTCCGGGATAGCGATAAGGGAAGAACGAAGCTACTTTCACAGAATTTCAGCGATATCCGCCGCGATGTGGACATGACAGAAAGTATTTTGAGCACCTACTTCATCACCTTTGACCGAATTACAGAACAGATGCCGACCGCCGGTGGCCTCCTACGGCTGATCGCGTTCTTTGATCGTCAAAATATACCCGAGCAGCTCCTGCGAGAATCAGGCATTGAAGGGGTAGATGATCCGGTTGGATTCCGTCTGGCTGTTGGAAAACTATCCGGCTTCTCATTAGTGACTACTACCAAGCGTGAAGACAAAACATTTTATGAGCTCCATCGTTTAGTCCAGCTATCGATACAGGCCTATTTATCGCCGGGAGAGTGGAATAAATGGCGTACCACCGCATTGCGAGTCATCTCCCGGATCTTCCCGAAATATGAGCACGAGCTGCGGAATATCTGCGATGCATATATTCCACACGCACTTGCGGTAACTGATGGTTCAACGGATATTATTGCGGAAGACCTTTGCTTCCGTATGGCAGAGTGGTTTCTACATTTGGGTTCCTACGACCGCGCAGAAGTACAAATCCGTCGATGTATCCGGTTACGCGAGGAGAATAAAGAGCAAGGCTGCGATGAGAGTCATGGGAGACTTATGTTATTGGGACGGGTGAGCGCATGTCAAGGAAAGGCTTGGGAGGCAAAGAAGATACTGCAGAGTGTACTGGAGGAGCTTCTCATGGGGTCATTGGGGCCAAACGACCCGGAGGCAGTGGCATGCCTATCCTATCTGGGAAGTGTGATGAGTGATCTCGGAAAGTACAGCGAATCAGAGATGATGAATCGGCGTGCATTGGAGCAGCGTGAGAAGGTTCTTGGACCTGACCACCAAGACACCCTAACAAGTGCCATCAACCTAGCTCTGGCGCTGCAATACCAAGGGAAGTTCAAAGAATCAGAGGCGATTAATCGGCGGGCACTGGAGTGGCACGAAAAGACACTTGGACGACACCACCCCAACACTTTAACAAGTTTCAATAGCCTGGCCGCAGTGCTGGAACTGCAAGGAAAGTACGCTGAATCCGAGATGCTGCATCGACGCGCATTGGAGTTGCGTGACGAGGTTCTCGGACCTGACCACCCCGATACCCTGACAAGTGCCAACAACCTGGCTCTGGTGCTGCAACGCCAAATAAAGTTCAATGAGTCAGAGATCATGAATCGCCGTGCCCTGGAAGGGCGGGAGAGAATTCTTGGTCCCACCCATCCAGACACTCTATCAAGCGTCAGCCATCTGGCCATGGTGCTACATTATCAAGAAAAGTACAGTGAATCAGAGACTATGAATCGACGTGCACTGGGGGGTCGCGAAAAGATTCTTGGGGCAGAACACCCAGACACTTTGATAAGTGTAGGAAACCTGGCTCGAACACTGCACAGACAAGAAAAGTATGATGAATCAGAGAGGATGGATAGACGTGCACTTGAGGGACGCGAGAAGGTTCTTGGACCAGACCACCCGCACACCTTAACCAGTCTCAACAATCTGGCTATGACCCTGCAAAACCAGGGAAAGTCCGATGAAACCGAGGCTATGCATCGGCGTGCACTTGAGGGACGCGAGAA